TCATTTGGCAACAACGCTAACTCTGACTGACGGTTTTACTGTACCTAATTCCCTGCCATCGCATGTGTGCTGTGACCGTCCAATGAAGCAATTGTACTTTTACGAGGAACCCGAGCAGCATAGCAGTAAAGATGTGAAGAAATATCGAGTAGGGATATTGACCCCCTACATGCAGATCCATCTACAAAACCAAACATTCCAGGAGTTAAAGTCACTGGTGTTGGTCACTGCCCTTCTACGGTTATGGCAGCTCAGCATGACCCAGACTTTACAAGAAGCTCAGCTCCACCAATATGTTAGGTACATACTTCATCATGTTGCTACTACCAATGTCATGTATAAAAGGTTCTGGTTTCACTCAGCCTGCACCCCACAAATGTCTCATTTCTAATGATCCTTAACAAATATATTCTAATGCTTAAGATTTATGATATGATTAATATGGCAATTTAGAGGCTGGTACTGTAAAGTGGACTCCGAGCAGCACTGCAATGTCACACTGATTTATTGCTCTGCTCGAGTCTTTTAGGCTTCGTCTTTGATTCCGTGAAAAGGAAAAGTTCCGACCTCACTTGAGACTGATGAATGAGCATGTACGCAAGGTCAGGGAGATAAGAGTATCAGCTGGGTTACTTACATCCATCACTATCCAAACACAACTTTGTGTCCTTAAGACGCATCTGTTTGTCATCACCATTGCGAATGTTGTGGTCGAGGATGCCGAGTTGTGTGAAGTCTCTGATTCTCAGGAGGTTTAAGGGAACAGAGGCTGAATGGATGACTAGCACATAAATACTCCTATTCTGACTCCCCCGCTACCAGAGACTACAACAACTTCTCAGAGCAAATGGACATATTTGTCTGCTGGTCAGGCAGCAGACAGGAAGTATCTCTTTCAAAGGCCTAAAAACAATAAACCATATAAACAGAATGACTATAGTTGCTAAGACTCATTACTCTCTCTCTCAGGACTCAGTGTTTTGACATCACAAAAAGGCTAATTTTCCACCCTGTCCCTCTGAACCAAGGCTGGGAAAGCACTTCCGAAGAATTATACTGAAGTCTTTTGATAAAACCAGCAAAACCTTTATAAAATATGAAGGACGATGAGCTGCATTTGTTAAAAATAGACACTGGGGAAAAGTCACTCAGACGCCTGGTCATCACAGTTACATTTAATTATATTTTAAGGTCAAGAGCAGAAAAAAAAAAGCTGATAATTCTTCTCTTGCTACAGTAGTTAATGTAAAAAAACTAAATTTGACTTTTTTTTTTTTTCATTATTTTCTGTAACCATATGGTAAGAACGTACAGGAAGTGCTGATCCGGTAGTTCCCGTTCCACATATGTGGCTAGGAGCTGAAGGGTGGTGCTTTTTTAGGGTTAGTGGTGTCGGCATGGTACAGCCTGCAGATAACTTTGCCTCAACGTACCACCAACCAAGTCCTAATTCACTGAAAGCACAAATTTATTGTTATTCTACTCTGGGACTAAGATAAAGGGACTAAGTTTAATAGCAAATGATATTGTTCAAATGCTTGGGGTCAGTAAGATTTTATAGTTAAAACAAATAAATACTTTTATTCAGCAAGAATACAATAAATTCAGTAAAAAAAGAAGAAAAAAAAACATTTACAATGTTACAAAGAACATCTATATTTAAAATAAATTATGTTCTTTCTATTGATTAATTTTTTATTTATTTTTTTTTTTTTTGCATGTTAATCACAGGAATAAATTACATTTTAAAATATATTAAAAAATAAAAAAACATGTTTAAACATATCACAATTATATTGTTTTTATTGTCTTTTTGATCAAATAAATGGTGAACAAGAATAAAAAAAAAATCATAAAACGTGAATGTTGAACAATAGTTTATGCTTAAAATACTTCATTTTTTGTATAGTATATAAATCATTTTAAGGATTGTTTAAATGTTTATTATGAAAAATCTGCAATATTTGCCTGGAACAGCTCAGTTTTCTTGATAACATTAAAACAGCTGCAAACAATAAAGGCCAGCATGTCTACATACGTGTGCACGTTTGTGAGCTTGTGTGCACGTTTGTGAGCTTGATGCGGTGAGGTTCTTAATGTAGCTTTGTCAAATCAGTCTGTTGAGAGTTTCCATTCAGTTTAACCCTCACTGACAAAACAAAGAGCAGCCCTCTGCATTATCATTCTAAAACGAGAGAAGAAGAAAAAAAGTCTGAATAAAAGGCATCCAAACTCTTAAAGGAGGGGATAATAATCTGTAACTCTTACGAGTCTCTTCCAAAATGCAGTGCTACTGTTTTTTCTTTCTAAACATTAAACTAAAGGTCTCTTTGTGCTTTTCAGTATGCCTTTCAGCATTACTGCATACCTAAAGGCCTCATATATTCCAGATGTTGAGAACTGGCAGGAACAGGACCCCGCTCTCACAGAAGCTCTAAAAAAATGTCAGTATCCAAAATCCATTAAAGCAGCAAATGAGCACATTGCTCCTAATACATATCCACAAGTAAGAACCTTGGGTACATTTTTTTCTTTGTATTTTCCAGATATTCTCTCTGGGGAAAGCCAGTGTCATGGATAATGACATGGCAGATTTTTCACAATAAAATATGACAAAAGTATTTAGCAGAAAAGAATGTATCATCTGCGTAATTCAGCCACTAAAATGACCGCGAATCTTGAAGAAATCTGGCAGAAATGTCAATGTCATCAAATACACAAGAGACGCAATATCAATTGGTCAGGCAAGAAAAATCATAACATTCAAACTGATCCAACAAGCAATAAAATCCCAGTACTTGACATTAGTCCTATCCGTAATATGACATAAACAACAACTGCAAAAAAAGGCCCTGAATCCTCATTGACTGTATCTTTGGATATCTGAGCAGGTGTGGTCATTATATCATGTGAACTTTGTGAACTGTTGTAAGAGATATTTCATAGAGGTTTACGTTCAATCCAAAAAACAAGAGCCAAAAGGTAGCTTTTATGCATGGAATTTAGTTTGGTATTTAAGATTGGTATTAAACCAAAAATGTGGAAGCACACTTTCAAATATCCCCACCTCCCAATTGGCCTGCAGAAGTGCAATGTGGTGAAGACATTATCAGGCAGCCATTTTGAAAGAGGTATGTTATATATCTGAAATGGCCATCAGAACAGCAAGAAAGGAATATACTCTTTATTGTTTTACTGACTAATTATTATATTTTGTATTTGTTTAAAGCAGGAGAGACCAGGCTCTTTGAAAGCTTTTATCAGAAAGACAGTATACAAAAACAATTAGCTATTTTTGATTCTCAGGTGAGTCAGAAGGATATGATGCCCTAATTTTGCCTATTATTTAGAGTAGCCTATACAGGAGGACTAAATGTATAAATGACGGATAGGGCCACTTTAAAACACTCAAGTGACCACTTTTAGAAGTAGACAATGTGTCCAAGTCAGAAAGCACTTCTACAGTAGCTTTCTGACAGTAGACCGGTCTTTAGTGTGGACTGGGATAGTGTGGAGAAATGGTAGCCTATCTCTCTCTCTATCTGACTAATAACATGTCCTAAACTAATTGTGGGCACTGGAGTGCCTCACTGGTGTGTGCAGGGTAGTGCAGTTACTGTGAATGCTGTCAACAGGTCAGATACACAAACCTTTCTGCCATTAATTGAATCACTCTATTTTGGGAAATAGCCTGCTATAAAATTGTTTTGTATACGTAAACCTTTGAAGATCAGGGTCACCAGTGATATTGTAACTGGCATTTAAAATATTTTTATAAAAATATCATATTTATATTTATTTAATATAACCATAGTTTATACAACTCCGATGAAGCTACCTGTAACAGCAAACTTTGAAATACTTAAAAATATTTGTCTTGGTAGACTTCCAATCTGGATTTCAAACGGAGCATATTGTATAGGATATTAGACTTTAATAAACCTATAAATAATATAATCATATATAGTTTTCAAAACCAAACTGGGTAGGCTATGTCTTAGATATTATAACAGTGCCATTATTAACAGCCAGAACTTACGCCACTTAGTCAACGGTTTTTCTTTTCAAGCAGCATTTTAGGTATTATAATGCCCGAAAATATCCTTTAAAATAGTCGTTATTGAGGTTTAGAAATGCCTTTTCGTTCGGAACGCGCCTATGATGGCCATAAATGCTGTCTAGGTAGGCAGCTTACTAGGTTTTGAGCCACAGCCAATAAATCTTTCAATATATAGCCTATATACACACAGGCTGATTTTATTATATTTTGACACTGAAATTCACTACACATTTTAAGTTCACTACAACTACAGGCTGGCATCCCTGGAAGGCTCGTGACGATGCTCCTCAAACTTTTCCTTACCTGCTCTCACTTGTGTTGCCTGAAGGACAAAAGTCAGACTGAAAATTGCACTTAAAGCGGAGTTCCTGAGCCAGTTTTTCGTTTTCCACCTTTCCTTATCCTTATCCATGACCGGCGCCCTCACTGTGTGCTATTTTCAAATTCGTTCCTTTTCCACAATCCAGATTATTATTATTATTTTTTTTTTATTTCTGCACTGCCATGAGCGAAAAAAAAAATCAATTGGTTGTCGTCGTGAACAAACTTCAGTCCCTCCGCCCAGTAGATTCTCAGACTGAAGGTAAACGGACTCTCATGAAAAAAAGAAAAAAAAAAGAAAACCGGTTTGTTCCCTAAAGATCTGAAGTTTTTAGGAGGGCTGGACGTGAACTAAACCTGACCCGTGAGGAAAAAGAAATGAACACGGGAAAATCACCAGTCTTGGAAAGATCCGCCCATTATTTTTATAGGAGCTTCAAAAGCTTGACACCGTTCCACCGAAATCTGGGATCAGACAACACCGGGATGATGGTGATGGTACACCGGTTTACCGGAGGAGAGAGACTCGTATAACCTGGATAATCATCCTGCGTTCAGAATCAGTGATTTAGGACCGGATAAGGACTATCTCCACAGCATTAGACAGCTTACTTTATTTTGTTACTTTATACATTTGTAGATCGCCATTTGGATATATATTATCAGCATTCTGTGTACCGTCTGTAATTTCCACTGCTGACCTGATGAATGGCATTTTGCTCCACTATATAGATTATTAAATTATTATTATTATTATTATTATTATTAGTATTAGTATTAGTATTAGTATTAGTATTAGTTTTAGTATTAGTATTTTAAATGGTTACATGAAGAACCTTTAACTTCCATTTAATCTTTCCTCTACATAGTGTTTAAAGTTGAAAAAGGTTCTTTAGATTATTAATCTTCACACTTCACACACAAAAAAAATATATATATATATGGCATTTTTAACTAAAAAAAACAAATAAACAAAAAACAGCTTTTGCTTTTGGAAACACTATTTTTGAGTGGAAATGGCTGGAATGACTCTAAACTTAAACAGGTGTGATGGCACTGGCAGGTACTGCAGTCAAACCAGGCAGAATTTTGCTCAGAAAAAATTTCGTTTAAAGAGGCAAACCAAAAGTTAGCCTGAAGTTCCCCAAAAAGCAATGATAGCCAAAAAAAGATACCATCTACAAGAGTGAGAACTATACAAAGGAGACTTCATGGCCACGTCAGAATTCCTTCCAGAAACATTCTTGAAAGAGTCCACTTATGGGATTGCTGTACCACAGATGTCTGAAAATAATTACTCTCTAAAAGTCATCGGGCAGGTAGGAGCTATATAATCCAGAAGTAAGTCCACAATATAATGTTTAGATGCATAAATAACAGCATAACAGCGGTAATTGTCAATGAAATTCAGAACACTTTAACCATTATGCATTATCCCGCAATAAATTGGGGCCATGCAGATTCTTTCAGAGAATGCAGAGGGAAACAATAAAATAACTGAAACAAAGAAACTATTTCACATGTATCTTCTTATCTTCTTCTCATGTATAAAATGAGAAGCTATTCAATCACAGATGGGACAGATTCAGGGTTCAAGCATTTGTTTCACTTTAAGAAAAGATGCTTAGTGGGCAAAATGCCTAATTCTGACCTAACTGAACAGAATTATTTGAGGAGAAATGTAGCATTACATTACTTGCTCACCAATGGATCCTCTTCAGTGAATGGGTGCCGTGCCGTCAGAATGTGAGTTTAAACAACTGATAAAAGCATCAGAATAATCACGAAGTAATCCATATGACTCCAGTTCATTAATTAATGTATTGTGAAGCAAAAAGCTATGTGTTTGTAATACAATACAGTTCTAAACAAATGTGTCTGATTTGAGAGAACAACAGAGGATGATTTTTTGTTCACTGGAGGAAGCTTTATTATGGATTATGGACGTTTCTTACAAACACACAGCTTTTCACTTTACAAGACATTAATTAATGGACTGGAGTCTTGTAGATTACTATTAATCAGCTTTTTGGACTCTCATTCTGATGGCACTCATTCAGTGCAGAGGATGAACTGGTGAGCAAGTCACGTAATGCTTATTTTCAAACTCATCTGCAAAATTTCATTTTTGAGTTTCATTATTACATTTAATACTTAACAACCAAGCACAATCTAATACATGTATCAAACTTTAAAACATCCCTACTTGTATAAAGTAATGAGAGTGGGAACATGGAAAGATTTCCACGTGTCAGATAGATAAAACTTCCTTATGCAGTCAGCATTCGTTACATTTTCCACAAAGTACACAATAGGGGTTTGAGAAACCACTGCCAGAACATTCTGTCTGGTTTTCAGATAGATAATACATCTACCCAAACTTTGTCCATTCAACATTTGTAAATGTTAATTATGCAAATTCTTAGTGTATCATTTTTTACTTTCCCTCCTTGTTTCTTTTCTTTCACACTTTCCTGAATTAAAAATCTTTTTTGCAAACTCAAACCACAAACATACATTGACTCCTTAACTGGGACAGACAGAAGAGTTCAAAAACAAAAAGACAAAATATAAAGACACACAGCACTAAATGTTTTCATAGTTGTTTTTATTCTGTTTAGAACATACAATTTAAAGCAGGATCCAAATTTGTATCGCTCATTTATCTATAAACCATATGATTAAGCAATCAGTGCACATACATCCAAGTTATACCATACATAGTATAATTATTCTATAATTGAGCCATTGTAAGTGAATAACCTTCACTTTTGTTGTTTTTAGACATCCCGAAGCTTTCAATTTGTTTGACTAGTTTAACTTACAGTTCAAATTTAACTTAAAAGAAGTACTCTCTCACGCCAGACGTTTTAGATGTTTGCTCTTCAAAAGCAGCTGAAATGAATCTACACTGTATGTTGATCGACCAGAAGTTTTGAGCCATGACTCCTGCTCCTACTCTGATCTTGGTCTGCTTTGCTGCTCCTGGCGTTTTGATTTTGGTCAGATCTTGACTTTAAAGTTTCTTGTTCTAAGGTCATTGCTTACATCTTGGTTTTTGAGGTTTTGTCTAAACTTCTGTCTTGGCCTGACAAAAGACCGCCATTTCATCCTATGCTGGATGGTGGTGTTATGGCATCCTGCTGGTTGAAAGAGATCAACAGGGTTAATACAATCAGATTTACCGTTATCTGACATTAGCTGAAACTGTTGCTGTGAGGGTAGGCTGAACTTACAGTAAAAGTGTGTGGTAGGTTATAGAAGACTGACCTAACCACAAGACTCTGGAATGTGTTCCAGTCTGAGCATGAATTTCAGTGCTGAAGAATAACCAGCTGCTTAATACAATCTCTTTATTTATTTATTTATTTAAATTTTAAAAGTGGTCAAATTTAATTGGTTGTGCTATTGCAGCAAAGTCCAAGGAAGTAGTGTGTTCACTCTATATGAACTCATATTTTTTTCATTTTAACATAATTCATTGTATTGGAACAGTATTTTAATTAAGGCAAAGTTTTCACTATTGAAATGTGAAAATACATACATGAATGTGTAAAAATAAGTGATGACTACATGCATAGTTAAAATGATGTCATGACATGCACTTTAAAGCTTTTAACAAATCAGTTAAGCGAATGAATCAAGACATCATAACACTCAAAAATAACTCTCATGTTGCCTCCTACTTGTTCAGTGATGTAACCTACAGAAAGGATCTCTGAACGAATCATTTTAGCATACTGATTAAAAAGATTTGAGTCATGGGATGAATCTATATACCCACCACAAGTACAAACTGAATCTTATACTCACAACAGATGCTTATCAACTGATTACAATCCATGGTGTAACACACTAAGTGTAACACAGTGTTACTCCATGGTAACACACTGATTTAATATTAATGAGCACACGTGAAACATGCAGTAGTAAAATGTAAGAAAAACAGTAAGAATGAAAGATATAACACAGATTTTATAGAAGCCAATACCCTTATTTTCAATTATAAGGCTTCAAAAAGGCTTCACATCTTTTATTTCTTTTATTGATTTGTGGTTTTACCTTTTTCCACTTCATGTGGTTCAATTATTTAAAATTGTCACATTGCTGTATATTTTTAGAAACCAATAGTTTTAATCAGTGAATCTATTAAATGGAGCTAAAAAGAAAATACTGTTCATTGCAACACTGTAGTATGCTGTGTCAGATGTGTAAGAAACTAATATACCATAAAAGTTGCTCTTAAAGAACAAAATGCTATAGGAATGTAATAGTTTTGTCTTTTCACCGTAATCCTACAAGGAAGTGATTGTCCTAAAAGAGTCTCTACATGTTCTTCATTAGTAGGGTTTTCACTGAGGTTTAATCTAGTGATGTCATCGGTGCTCTTAAGCATTCTGTTTTGAATACTTTCCCTTTGAAATACATACAATAGTGCTGCTGTCCTTATTATGATTTATAGCTCAGAAATACAGCATAGTGTACAAACAATCGTCCCATAAATCTTACTTTCTAGGCTGATGAGAAATGAAAAGCATGACAAAATATTTAATGAGAAAATGGCTTACGATAAATCAGTGCAAACTGTATAATTAGCGCCAGCTTCTCTGCATGTGTTCACAGCACGTCTGTACATTAATTACAGCAGAGCCTATTCCCAGTGCTATTCATTTTAAAATGATCACACGACTTGTTTAAACAACTGACTACAATAGAGTCAACTCACTGGCATCAGTGACTGTAACAGACAGATTACATCTTGATTACATGTTAACATGTTTTACATGAGATGTTTTACATAAGATGTTAACAGATTACATGTTAACATCTTGAACGGGAGCCTGTGAAGGGCCCGGTTCAAGACACGCAGGT